GATTCCTTCGTCCCCACATCGACACATACACACAGGGTCACACGAGAAGTCAGAGAAAACTTGTCCACTAAACAAAGCTTTTCCTCTAATCTTTGCTATTTTTCTCCAGGCTTTGAAAGAATTATCATTTGACGTCACTGGCTCCATAAAAAATAAACACATGAAAAAGTTTGTTATGATATTGTCTTGTTTTTCCAGGTTCTATGGTTAGAAGGAGAAGGGAGGAACCATTTCAATACAACATTTCAATATAACATTAATCTGTAAATGTGCCAGAATCTGTAAGGACGACGCTAATATTGATCTTATATTTAGAAGTGTTGCCTCATCTAATGAATCAACTCTAATTCAATCTTTTTGAAGACTTCTCTGATCAAGGTCCAAATACCTTTTAGGTCAGACTCAAACATGTTTTGGTCCCACTACAAACTTTCCCAGTAATTTGGAGCTGTTGTTTTGTTTGTTTTTGCCTTTTTTGTACAATTTGCTTATTTTAGGTTACAAGGTTAAGCTACTTCTGTATTATTTCTGTTCTGTACTATTTCTGTAACGTCAAGTTGTGACTTGGTGAATTTTAGCTTACTTTAGCTAACTTGAATGAAGGAAAATTGTTTTGATTGGTTGACATTTAGTTGTCTTTGTCTTTAACTTAGTTTCTTTACTCACTTTCAGTTAGGTTCTAAACTACTTTTGCAATCCTGGCTAAGTTTAACCTTATTATTTTCACCCAATATCAGTTGTTGTCTTAAAATATTCTGGTACCCTCCAGTTCCCGGTCCCTGACACCTGACCTCATTTCCTGTGCCTGGTTCAGGGATTTGAAGCTCCCACAGGAGCCATAAACCCAGCTGGAGGGTGTGTTCTACTCCCCATTCACAATAATGGGAAGACAAGTGGTCTGATAAGCCTTAGTGATCAGGTCTGCAGTACTGCTGCACTGTTGTTTACTGCATCAGCAGAGGAAAGGAGTAATTTGGTGCTGACAACAAAGTGAGCCGTCCATGGGCTGAGGAGAGGTTTAATTGAGGGTTGCTGAAAGGGTTTCTTTTTTTTTTGGACAATGAGGTGTCGTAAAACCTTTAGCACAGAGATAAATTGTGGTGGGAACAAAGTGTTGAGTGGGGTGAGCTATAAATCTGTTACCAGCTGAGTGCAGCAAACAGGATAGTGTGGGTATCTACTGGTTTTTGTGACCTCTGCAGGACCTTTGCTGCCATAAACACTGGGCATACTTCCATCCACAGAAATTAGTACCGGGGACTGAAGTCAGGGCAGAAAGTCAGACAGCAAAAACTAGAAAAGGAACTATGTACCAGGACTCGGTATCTATAAATTTGCATTGCACAGCAGGTTCTACAAAGTTTGAAAATACTTCCTCTAGACCTGGGGAATGCAATCATTTGTATCTCGTAACAGTACAACTCTCTGCAACTAAGATCTAGAAATGCAAGCCACCAATGTGAACAAGAACTGATGTTCCTTGAAAATAGTCATGTTTTATTAATTAAACTGAAGCGGATGTTGAAACTCAGCAGCGAAAAGGTTGTTTTCTAGGAGCAAACGTCTTCACAGGGATCATATCCTGTTCACAGTGAGGATTTCTTTCATTTAGGTAGAGTTTGGAGTAGGATATGAATTATGTTTGCTTATTACAGGGAAAGGATTTTACTAAGGTTGTCCAAATGAGTTATACTAAGTATTGAGTTAAGACAAAAATGATGATGACTGAGATGGGACTTCATGTGATATCACGTGAACTCAAAAGCCCTGCGATGTCTGGAAAAAAGTCAGAAAAATCAGGTTTAAAGTAACTTACACCCAACCAGACGTAGTCCAAACATTGTATGTTTTCATCTGGATCAAACTGCACATAACAGCCAAACATGTTTAGGTAACCAAAGAGAAACAATTACACAAGGCGTCAAATGATCAAAACAACCGTGTTCACCTTGAGACATTACTAATTTCTAACCTTAAATGGGAACAGACCTTTCACAACTTCCAGGAAATGAAGTTTTCAGTGGACAAAAATGCTAATCTGCTGCCAGGCCGGGGATAATCCACACATGATTGGTCCACAAAGATTAATAAAGGCTTCAATGCACGTCACTAATTCATTCCCTGAGCCTCTTCAGTGTTTTCCATCTCCATGAGAGAGTAATTCATCATATCTACTTTTGTGGTTTTCTCCAAGCGAAACAGACAGGCTATCTGCAATTTAGATTTTAAGACACAGGCTCCTAAACTCCCTGCTACCTACCAGGTTGTCCACTTCAAGTCATAACATTCTAGAAGGATATAATCAGGATGATGGTCTTATCTTTCTTAGCCTGGCTAAAACATGCTGTGATTAAAAGAAAAAAAAGCTGCGGGTTTTTTCCATCTGCATATTTTCTTTTCTTCTAGAAAGACATTAAGCTGTGTGTGGCTTCAGCTGTTGTCAGATATATTTATAGCAGAGCCATGAAACTTCCATCGTCTGTAAAAAAGCAACAAACATGTCTGCTGCTTCACTGATAAAAAAGCAGAGATTCTATCTCTGACCAGGCTTTGGGGCATTCATTTTTCATTTGCTGTGATCATTTCACACTGGGGTCAAGCCATGTCTGGTGTGTTGTTGTTCCAGGCGCACAACATATTATATATATATATATTTAAAAGGTGCTAAAATGGCCGAAATGCTGTCAGACAGTACTTGCAGCAAATGTCAAATTGAATCGTGGATTCAATCCAAACATTTCATACAGTCAGGTTTCCTTTAAGTGACCCCTTTTTAAAATGTATTTCTTATTGTGTTGTTGACTTGCTACAACAGTAGCAGGAGCATATATGTTAGCTCTAGCATGCAAACTACCACAAATACACAACACAGTGCAGTTGCAAGCTCAGTTTTGTATGTTTATCACCAACTAGCTGCCAACTAAGACTGCTAGCTGGGCCAGGCTGTGGCCTAGTAGCTACATAGCATATTAGCTTATTAGCACTTGTTGGCTCACTCTAAGATTAAACCGCACTGTCGTCAGTCTATAACAAAACATGACAACCATAATGTCATAAAAATTGTTTTGGAAAACATCTATAAGAACCTTTAAAATGATAGAATGTATTTCTATCTATACATATTAGAATTTAAGCTGTTACACTACAAATATGAGGTATTAGCCATGCTAGTATTGCAATAGCTTACAATTCTTTTCAATCAAATGTTGAGGTGTTACCGCAGTGTTATGATTTAAACCTGATGAATATCTGTCTGCGCCCTTGTCGGATTGTTTGTCGAACAACAACCAACACAAAAAAAAATTGTCTTAATCCCAGATGAAACAAACCAATAAGCAGCCAGTCTACTCTTGGAAACCTGGAATGCAGACAGAGAGAGGCGGGTGCCGTCACCGCAGCATAAACAGCAGGACAATTCGTTAAACAAATGTAACTTTTAACTTCTCCTGCAAGCTGCAGGGAAAGTCTGGTTTTAATGTGAGTCAGGTCTTTGTTTGCTCAGTGTAGCACCTGGAATCTAAGATGCCACAAGTTTTGGTCCAACCAGAGGAGCTGAACATAAAAGGCCTAAACACATACTGTGTGTTTTGTGTATCTTATTCCTGGAAATCACCGGAACTATCTGGATTTTCAAGCTCTGTATTTTCAAAAACTGTGATGGAGCAAAGTAACACTTTAACTTTTTTTTTTGGGATCAATATATGAGCAAAGCTAAGTGAGCAATGTAACTACTGGGATTTGGAGAAAAAAAATATATGTAAAAAAATGCTGTTGTAATTGCTGATTAAAACTTAAGTAATAAATAACTTAAGTAATAACTTTATTCTACCAAATTGCCCTAATAATTAAAGAAAGATCAAACTGTTTTTGACGACACTTGATATCCAAAACTATCAATTTGCCCTTCAGTAGTACTAGTTGTTCACTAGTAAATGTGTTTTGCTTCTTACATCATGCCACTGAATTTTAACAAAACTGCATGTTTTAGGATGATGTTTTTATCATGATGATCAGTTTTTTATAGCTTTCGTAAATAGACAAGTTAGGCATTTAAATGTGGCTTTTTCCTCCCTGTGCAAAGTGTCCTCTACGACAACTGTTTGCCAGACAACAGAACAAACACATAAAGGCTTTAATGACCTCAATTCATTAGTCACAGAACATTATTCTAAAACAAACAAAGCAAGTATACGTGGTAATAACATACTTGGTCTGAGTTTTGTATTGATCAAAGCTGCCAAGCCCCCTTCTCCAAAGCTAAAATGATAAAAATGTAAAAAAAAAAAACAAAAACCCTGAAGTCAAACTATTGTATTATTTAATTAATATAACTTTATTTTTCCAAAATAAATTTGATTAATTTATTTATGTTGCATTAGAGCAGTGGAGTATGTTACACCAGGTTAATGGTTGTTAATATTTAACAATTGGTTAATATAAAAGTAACTGACATTTAATTAAATACATGGCAAAATTTGTAACCAATAGGATTAGGTCAAAATGTGTTAAAAAATATTAAGTATTAAGTAACTTAAAGCCAGTGGAAAATAATGTATGTAAAAATGTATATATGTAATTTGTTTTTTAAAGCTAAAATGTTGGTTATCAGAAAGAGATTAAAGATAGTGGCTAAATAATTTATTACAGAAGCCTAGCTAATATAAATGCAAACATAATTTTTGTTAAAATTAAAACAAAACTCCCCCAGAAACATGTATTTAAGGGGAGAAAAGTTCCTGTTAAAAACAAGAAAATCTTATCCTGATGGAAATTCCTTTTTAAGATTATAATCTTTGGTCCACTGTAAACCTGTCCTGCTATCATGCCTAGTCCATGATCTGGACTTAGGTTAATGTTAACGTACACGTAGACAAAACATGATTTACCACAAACACCACCAAATATGGAAAAAGCTCTGTTGACGTTCACGGGCAGTTTCTCTGCATTCTTGTCATTCTTTGTAGCAGAATCCAGGAGCTCTAAGATCTAATGCTGCCCTTCTGATTTTTCACAGCTCAGTGATACATGTCAGGACGCATCAAGGCTGAGTGTGGACTGTAATTTCTCATGTTGCTTTCATCTGTGTTTGTGTGTTTGTGTTAAGGGCACACTCACCAAACTCACTGGCACACATGTGCTCCAGCATGGCGTCTGCATTCAGTTCATTGTCACATGGAGGACAGATGGGAGAATAACCTGGGAAGAAAAAAAAATAAAACGGAAATAAAACAATAATAATTGACGAAAGCTTGAGAAACTGGTGGGAAACAATAGAAAAATATCCAGTGGTGGTGATAGCAGTGATATATCACTGACATGGTTTTAATTAATAGCCCTGAGTCTAACTGCCAACCATTTGGGTTTTGGGCAGAAGAACAAACATACAGTCAGGTCCAAAACAAAACAAGTAATTTCTCATTGAAACCCAGAAGAGAATAAAAAAACAAATCATATTTTTGATTCTCAGTTTCAGCCTGCAGTTATTTTATATATTCATAGACCTGCAGATATGTTATCAGTTAGGTAACTCTAGCTCTCTTTGACTTAAATGCCTTCGGCTTTTTGTAGCTGCAATATCTAAACTTACTCAATGTTTTTGGTCATTTTATTGTTGTGGTTGATATTTTCCTTGTGACTTACATTACTTTTAGCTAGGTTTTTGAAATGATGAAATAATTTAGTGTCATAAAAGCTAAGGTTAGCCATATTGTAACTGTAATTTGTTTTCTGCATTTGCTTTTGAATTATTCTAGTCATGTCTACCTATTTTAATGAAAATGTCTTACCAAACTTTATTCTTATATCAAACATTTTGCCATTTTTGGACCTTGTCTATTTTATATATAGTTACAGAAGTAGCAGGGGATCTTTGATTTATCATATGATCAATATCAGAAATGGCAGAAATGGTCTATGGTTTGCTGTCCTGATCAGGAATGTTTTAAAACTCGACAGCTCTCGAAATGCCAAAGGAGTGAAAAATGTGGATGAAATAAATGGTAACAATATTTTATTCCAAACCTTTAGGAATGCTCTTTTTTTTCCAAAAAAAAGGTAATAATATCCTACTCCTAAGATGAAAACCCAACGAAGGACAAGAATGTCAAAATGTCTTTCTGCCAAAGGTATTTCCATCAAGAAGAATTTCTGCAAATTTTTCACCAACACAACTTTAAAAATCTTTTCCTCTTAATCATACAAACATGGGCTGAATGCCAGACTTCAGTTACACAACTAACTGTGACCGGTTGGTTGTACCATCACAGAGTCCTGCAGTGATCCAATAAATAAACTGCATTTCAGCGTTCCAGTGTCCCTGGGTCTGATCCGTCTCCAGTAAAGCAAATAGTTTGTCCTCTTCACTGCCAGTTGTCCATTACATGTGTTTGACTAAAGCTTGTGAAAGTCACACCCAGGTGCAAAGAGCTTGTGAAAACAGATGCTGTTTACAGAGCCTCTGAGTCCCTTCTGCTGGATCTCCTTTGAAACTGTTATGAGCCAGGAAGATTAAGCTGCTTTTCTTCAATTTATTAACACCAACATTTTAACACCTTTCCAGACAACATTTTTCAAACCAGAAATCTAAATTTGTGACACTCCCGGGCCATTTCTGCTTCAACAGCC